ATACGTAATCCAAATGACTAACGTGTTGTTTTAACATTAAGAGGCTGGAAACAAATGACTCAAATAATTTGTTTTCAACTTGTTTTTTTCGGTGATTCTTTGTTTAAAAATGTTTTCTGGGCATCATGGTATTGTTTACTAAACCTTAGGTTGATGTTGGAAACTTTGAAATGCAAGAATTTAGGACAAAATTCAAAAGTTTTACATTCGTTTAAAAACTCAATGTGTAATAAGTTCTTTGGAAATGTTATGTATGCTTTTTCAGCATTACTATATAATTTCAACATGTGGATACCATAACGGTTTACTGTGGTAGTAGTGGCAAGAGGTAGGTGCTTCTGATTTTTAGAATGAACATAGAAACAAAAATGAGAATGTGTAACATTATAGCACTTAAGGAGTATGTTATTATATATATATAAGCAAATATAAGAAGTTTCACTGTAAATCACATAAATATCGAACATACTCCACTATCAACAATCTGTTAATATTATGACACGTCAAAGATTTAAATTTGACAAGGTACATAAAGCACATATCTTAGCAACAATGATACACATGTATCTAATACGAGGAGTAGGTGGTATCTTAGCTACAATGATACACATGTATCTAATACGTGGAGTAGGTGGTATCTTAGCTACAATGATATACATGTATCTAATACGTGGAGTAAGTAGTATCTTAGCTACAATGATATACATGTATCTAATACGTGGGGTAGGTAGTATCTTAGCTACAATGATACACATGTATCTAATACGTGGAGTAGGTGGTATCTTAGCTACAATGATACACATGTATCTAATACGTGGAGTAGGTGGTATCTTAGCTACAATGATACACATGTATCTAATACGTGGAGTAGGTAGTATCTTAGCTACAATGATATACATGTATCTAATACGTGGAGTAGGTAGTATCTTAGCTACAATGATATACATGTATCTAATACGTGGAGTAAGTAATATCCTAACTACAATGATATACATGTATCTAATACGTGGAGTAGGTAGTATCTTAGCTACAATGATATACATGTATCTAATACGTGGAGTAAGTAATATCTTAACTACAATGATACACATGTATCTAATACGTGGAGTAGGTAGTATGTTAGCTACAATGATACACATGTATCTAATACGTGGAGTAAGTAATATCTTAACTACAATGATATACATGTATCTAATAGGTAAAGAGAGTTCTATCAGTTCTATATGTACAGTAATGTACATATGTGATATGAACGGTAAATTATGTGGTTACATATGACCAACCAGGAAGGAAAAACTGTAGCAACTCTTGTAAATAAGAACCAAGTCTAATGCACATCTATGACATTAACGACAACATACGAGGTTACACATGACAAAAAAAACAACAACAGAAAAGTCTTCAGTAAAAGCAACTCTTGGAAACAAAAAACAAATATTGTGCACCTCAAACCTCGGTAGTCCGTGCACCGTACTTTTCAATACATTTGTTGTTGTTACGGGATGGATTTAACTTGGTCATCGTTATTGTGTTTTATTGGTCAAGGGTCAGTAGAAATCTTGAAAAATCAAAATAAAAATTGAATGTCAAAATATTAAGGGTGTTTTTTATAGTGATCCAAAGTAACATATATAAATTAAAAATACAAAAAATCAGATTTTTACTTATACAGGGTGAAATGTTGAGAAACATACGACTATAACAGCATGTATATACTAAATATATTTAAGTTTTGCTTCTTGCTTTAATTCCAAATGAAAAAATGAGGAAATCTATAATTTTGGTTGTAGGGGGTTAAGCAACAAAAATTTTATGGACAACCTGTTGTCTCGAATGGAAAAGTACGCGAACAACCTTGAAAAGTTGGTTGAAGAAAAGACAGCAGCATTTGCAGAAGAGAAGAGGAGGAGTGAAGATTTATTACACCAACTGTTACCTAGGTAACAAGAACAAATTATCTCAATTGTAAAGTTTATTTGACTCTGCCTTTGTTTACGCTAAAAAAAATAGAGCATTGCAGATTCACATTCATTTGAATTGTACTTTAGAGCATAACATAAAATTACTGAAAACTGAATTGAACAAATCTATGTTTTACACTTCAGCGAATGCAAAATCCTATAGCTTCAAACATGCATGAGTAAAGCTAGAGATAGCCAAACGATGAAGAAAGTAATTATATCAACCAAAACTAGTGCACTTCACGTATTAGGTGACTCCAAGCTTTTGGTTCCAAAGATAATTTAACGATCAAACACCAGGGTTGACCTGCCGGTTTAAAAAAAAAAAAAACTGCTCTTGTTTGAAAGTATTGTCAGATTTAATTGACTTATTCATAAATAGTGTATATTCATGATTTGTTTGTTTTTTTTATTTGGTTTA